TGCTTGCTGGGTGCCTGCGCGAGACCTGGGCCCGCAGCCGCGGCCCCCTCTCCTAGCCGGGCTACCCCCCATCCCACCCTGGCCTTGTGCCTTGAGAAACAGGCTTGAGATCTGGGGTCCAGGCAGGAATCCGGGAATCCGCGCTGGGTTCCTGCCTCACCACCTCGAGGCGCAGGGCCCTGGAGAGGCTGCGCACAGCTGTCTCTGCTGGGAAGACCCACCCCCACCCGGAGAGGGGGGCCTGGCGGAGAGAAGCCAGTGCGAACGGAGGAGAGGAGAGAAGAGGAGCCGGAGGTCGCTGAGCCTCCCCGGGGGCAGGAGGGACGGAGGGGCGCCGGGGTGACCTGGGGTCTCACTGCCCAGAGTCCTCTCCATCACACACGCCGCTGGGAGGGCCCTGGCTCAGCCCCAGGCCTGATGCTCCCCCTCCTAAGAGAAAGGCCTTGTCCCTCGACTGAGTTTGGGGGGAGACTTGGGGTGGGGGGGTCTTCCCTCTCTTTTCTGCCTAAAAAGTTTTGTGTGACCCGGCTGGTGTGGCTCAGTGGTTGAGCTTCGACCTATGAACCAGGAGGTCAGGGTTCGATTCCCAGTCGGGGCACATGCCCAGGTTGTGGGCTTAATGCCCAGGGTGAGGTGTGCAGGAGGCAGCTGATCGATGATTCTCTCTCATCGTGGATGTTTCTCTCTCTCTCTCCCTCTCCCTTCCTCTCTGACATCAATAAAATTTATATATATACAGTATATATGTGTGTGTATACACACACACACACACACACGCACACACACACACACACATGAGCTTTGGGTTCAGACCTCCACTCTTCCCCTCCCTTCTGAGTCCTGCCCACCTCGGGCAGCGTCCCCATCCTCCACTTTCCCCATCTGTTAAATGGGAGCATTCATTTCTTCTTCTCGCCTGGATTCTGACGGGCACGTCAGGTAACGTCTGTGAAAGGCCGGGGACAGGGCCTGGCACCTCCCCGAGTCCCAGAGTCTCAACAAATGTGATCTCCCCCTCCCCCACCTCCACTGCCTTAGGGGGGACGGGACCCCGGACGCTGGCCATTGCGCCCCATCGCCCCATCGGGTGGGCCCGCCAGGCCCTCCCTCGTCTTAAGGACCTCGTCACTGAGTGTGACTAACAGACGATGATGGAGATAATGTAGTCATGGCAATAACGAGTTTGTAGCCACACCTGGTGCTTCCACCCTCCCGCCCAAGGAGGCGGAGCCTAACGGGTACAAGGAGGGTCCAGGGTGGAAGGGAGAGGGTGCCCTGCGTGGCAGTTCCCAACCCTGGAGGGGGAGGGGGAAGGGAGGGTGGCAAGGCTGTCATGTCCCATCTCGGTTCTTTTTTAAAAAGATATACATTGCCCTAACCGGTTTAGCTCAGTGGATGGAGCGTCGGCCTGCGGACTGAAGGGTCCCAGGTTCGATTCCGGTCAAGGGCATGTACCTTGGTTGCGG